AAAAAAAAAATCGTTCTCGATTAATGTTTTGGCCATTTTTAAGCGATCATTGGACAAGAATAGTAAACAGTATGAAATACATTATAATTTATAACAACCGTTTGAGGGTGTCACTCTTTTCAAATGGTTTGTACCAAAGAGACAAATTTATATTTTATTGTTTTCTAAAAAAGGTCGTTGCACCTTCCAAATGGCATTCGTTTGTAACACCTGTGACTTATTCAAAATTTATTTCACAAAAAATATAAAAAAAACCAAATCAAATAAATCCATCATAATATTTTCTATTTTACTGATGCCTGATTTATACACGCTTACATATTTTGCTTTCGAGTAAGAATTTGCACAACTCTGACTGTACAAACATTAGTAACGTTGGTCTACCAGCCTGGCCTTAGCTCAAACGACTGTAGGCGTTTAGAAATAATTTCTAATCCAAAAGGGTCCTATCACGGTCACACAACGCGGAAAGAACATGTGTTTTCTCCTGGTGTTCAAAAATAATTATTAATTATTTTTAAACGCTTACGGGTCGGTTAGGCGGTCAAATGGCGATTCAATTATAGATAAGACGTTTAACGAACGTTAAGGTCCAGCCTGAGCTCTGTATATACGATTTATGCTGTTTTTTTCCAATCCGACGAGCAAGCACCCAACCGTCTCGTTTTAACGTTATACAGCTATATATATATATATATAGTAATAACGCCATATCTGTACATGTTGTGCGATCCTAAATCTTTTACCCCAGAAATTCTGTCCAAAACACATGGCCGCAAAATCGTGTAGAAATTTTATATTATTATTATTTGACCGAAAGCATACCCCAAAAAAAATATATACAAATACAAATCCAATGTGCAACTGCTGTTTTAGTGGTACGTGACCGCAAAATAAACGCCAATATTTTTTTAATATTTTACACTCGACCTCACGTCTGTTCTCGGATCACATTTATATTACAAATGTGGTGCGTTGCCTGTTATCGTCGACCACCGGTGCCATTACCAGATGACAAGTCGGACTCTTGGTGGACTGTGTCTTCTTTAAAAATTTCACAAAATATACTGTCTACTGTGCACATTTTGATCATGGCACAACAGCCCCTAATGGTACCGAAAGTATTAGTGACATCCCTAAGGATTTAATATTTATTATATTTACACGAAATAATGTTTTACAAAAAAGTATTTTATAAACCACTTACAAACTATTTGAGACATTTCGTACACTATTGTAACTATTCGTGCAAACTACTTAAACATCAAGTTTGAAAATTATTCGAATAACTGACTCCGACCTGTCATGTGTAGGGACAAAGACTACCCAAGGGGGATTCCATACTAAACCTCTAGTTGATCCGACAAGACACCTAGTTACAAGGAAGTTTCATTTGAGAAATTTATGTAAAAATCTTATGGGAACCCGGTGTTATCGAAATTGGTTTGTTAACTCGGCCCTCAGTTGGTAAAAAATATATATATATAATAATTAAATATATTTGAAGGAAACAAATTGTTACAGCAATTATGTATCATACTTTAAGAATCAAATATAGATTAACTACGAATTATACTACAAGCACTTAAGTCTTAAATTCATATTTGAATTATATTGTAATCGCTTTATGGTAAGTTTAATTTGATTAAAAGCGTTGTCGAGCGCCGACTGAAATATTTTCTGTTAATGAGTTTTGCCAATTTGTATGGTATCTTTTTTTCTACACGTGGGGCCAACTTAAAGTTTAAGTACAATCGCATCTGAACGAGGTGCAATAAACTGTGCACATAGTTATTATGATTTTTGTTGCAGCACCTGAGGTATTTTTAGAAATCCGTCTTATGAAAAATAACTCGAGTAGGCGATAAAAGTTCCTTAAAGTTGTTAAAATATTGTTTTGATAAAGATTTGGTTCCAAGTGCGTTCCCACGCAAACGTCCGTGTAAAAATCTGTATGCAAACACATTAAAAAGTTAAATATGATTCGGCGGTATGTAAACTGAAGAAAGTTTCCTTGCCGTTCAATCATTTTACGCTTATAATTCACAAGAAGTTACTTGCGGTAAACATCATTATACTAATATTATGTGCTTACACCGTTCAGCATTAGGTGTACACGTTATTAATTTAATATTGTTTTTCTTAAAACAATACACTATAGAAACTATAGAAAAACATAAGTATATTTTAATAAGTTTTAAAAATTGTAATTTTATTTATATTTTTTATATTTTTAATGTATAAAAGTAACTACAAGTTTATTCATTTTCACATTATGCTAGTATCAATAAATTATAGTTTAACTAAATGGCTTTTAAGAAAAAGGCAATTTTTTTTTGTCTATGTGCGCCGTGTAGGGACTAGAAGTAGAGAGGGTAATATAAGTTTAAGTATGAGAGTTTTTGTGAAAAAAACCAAAGTCCAACAAATATCCAATCCAGGCAAAATTTGTTTGAGTTTATTTATATAAAAAAAAAAACATCAGTTTCTCTGTAATGTATTATGGTAAAGAAAATAATATGTATTATAATGCGTTGCTAAGTATCGACTTTTTCAACTTACCCCCCCCCCCTTCTCCCCACTGCTACTCTTCAAAGGGGCCAAATTCAAAGCTAACTTAAAAACATATAAATGTACATATAACATGACATTTTTGTGAAAACTGATGATCAATTTGTATTCAGTGATCTAAAAATAGATAGAAATTTTCTATTGTACAATCTTATAGACTAAATTTTAGGAGGTATTAAATATTAATCAAATAGTTGAAACCGTGTTGACACATAGCAACTTCCAAATTTACCACGTTCGAGGTATAATTTTCCGTCTCGTGTGTAATGTAAATATTTTCCAAAACAACAAATTACTTATTTAAAAAAAAAAAAAACTAAGTAGGTCGGTATAATATTGTGCTGTGATTTGGGCTGATCGGTCGGGCGAGTGCACCAACCGATATTGTAACTCTGGATTTATATACATACATCATATGGATACACGTACACGGCGTTTGCCCTTTTGGCTTGATGAACATTTCGTGTTTTCGGGATACGAGTAATGGGGGGGGGGGGGGAAATATGTAGGTACCTACCTGTACAACACCTCCCACGGCCCATACGGGTATTTTTTAGAAACGTCGGTGTAGTATCTTTACCGTTGTCAGAATAGCCCATACGCCATGCTAATCTGACCTTATCCCATTGACTTGGGCGCCCTTCACGCTCACGGCAGAGCATAATATAATACATTGTACATGTGCTTTCATTACAATATCTTGACCCTCGTCAAACGGCCAAAGCGCTAAGGTTTCGATAACCTTAAGACCCCGGTGAGGAAAACATCTATTGAAAACGGCTATTGAAATCTACTATTGAATCCGGCTTTACCACTCGCCGCGGTCAACGGTGATTTCATTTTCATTTAACCGAACCCTCCACCCTACAGGCCCATAAGAACCGCGCATAATGTGAATTGTCAGAAAGTAGGAGGTATTGTTTTCTTTACAACAACGTTGTATGCTCACAAAATAGAATCGCTAAACAAATTTCTTTAATTTTCATCAATCTGTTTGTTTGCTATGACTTTGTAAAGATATCACATTTCCAAAATCCAGTAGCCCGTAGAATTCATGTTTATGAAAACTGATAACCAAACACAATGAAATGTTTTGACATGATGATAGACAATAGGTTCTTATGTATATATATATATATATATATATATACTATATATTTAATGGGAAATTGCTGTGCTACTGTTGTGAAAACCAAACGAATATTGATCTTAAATGCATATCTTTAAAAGTCATAGTAAACTGACAGACTGATGAAACTAACAATTATTTCAAACGCTAACATTCTTAAAATGTTTTGCCTACATATTGAAGGATTAAAAACAATTGTTTTCTTTAAAAAAAAAAACCAAGTTCATACTTTTATTACGTGTAAAGGGGTGAAGGTAACATTTTTTTTTAGATATTGAAAAATATAGGAAAAATGTGTTTATGAAATGTTTTCCGAGAAAATAAGTTTTGGCATCGGATGGATCACTCTGAATTTCTAGTAATTGTGTAAGAAATTATTTTCTCCATCACATTAATAAAGAATTCTGAATTAAATATTGTAATATATTCTACTGACAAAATGTATTGTTCTTCTTTAGGAAAAATGACTAATTAGCAAATAATCGAATTTTGATGTCGCCAACTTAGTATTTGGTTTTCTTATATTAGCTACAGGTTTATTCATTAAAGTATAATTTTGTTTATAAGCAAATTTTCTCTTATGCATAATGTTCGACACCTGGTTATTATGCCATCGATAATATTGGCATATGAAAAATTGTTAATACTTGTTATAATAATACATTTTATTTTGTATCAAATTATGTCATTGATTCTGGGAATGCTTTGAAATGTACAAAAATATAAAAACAACTACGCCAAATACAATTTGGACTTCCGGATTCGATTTGGGGATTCTTTTTACACATTTCCAACCCTTGTGGTAACCTTTTAGGCCTAAACGTAATTCAAAGCAGTGGCAAAATATTTTTCGACTACCACAACTAACAATATTTTACAACTGCTGTATCGTTTTCAATAACAGTGACTTATTCTTCTGACACTATGAACGGCGATTGAATCACGGGTTAACAAAGTTTCACTGAATACCGACAAAAGTTCAAGACTGAACAATTCCGTTCGTGTGGTGTGTAATACACATTTATACTAATAACTAATAAAGCACTAGGCCGCCGAGTAACAGGTATACTCATATCAGTTGAAGATAACTGAACGATTGTCCAAACTCTCAGACCACTATTATGTTTAGTCTGAATTTTGTTTCGGATGACTGGAAGTGAATTGTGTCGAAAGTAGTAAATATTATGATAGCTGAGTGTTGAAAAACCTATCCGTCTTCTCCTGGATGCTGATTTTGCATGTCAAAATGTGTGCAAAAAAAAAAATAATGTCCTTAAATGTGGTTTTTTAATGGCCTTACTCGGTGTTCTCGTCGGTGTTTGTGCTGCCACACTCGGACGAACCTCGGCCGTTGCGCATGTAATAAGACGGCGCGTTCTTATACCATCCCAGCCTGGCCAAAGCCGCCAAGTGTCTCTTGCTGAACAAGTTGTTGGAGTGATACGACGACGTGGTGAACCCTCTGGGCATCCAACCGCTACGTGCCAGCGCCCCTGTCAATCAATCAGCCGGTTCACCGCACTGCCACTTGTATCGGTGTATACAACTGTAGTACTACAGTCAATGCACCAGCTCACACATTTCAAAAACACCGGCCAATCCTACTACGATCGACGCACTACCAAACACCGAACAAACGGATCACGCGATAAAGCAAAAACAAAAAAAAAAAAACAACACTAAACTACTTCACACGACTATCTAACAATAATAATAACGTAACAACACTAATAAGTGGTACTACTGACTTTTACTCGCAACCGAGTACGTACAAAACTACTGTCCTGTAGCTACCGAAAACAAAACCAATACAGTAGGGTCAATGCATGGTGGGCAAGTCACTTTCAAACGAGATTCACTACGGTCAAAGTGTAATTTTTCCCTTAATTTTTTATTAAGGTTTGCCCCTTTCCAGATCTACCTTTGTTTTAATTTTTAGACCTTAAGCCTGAAAAAGCAAAACAAACCAAATGTTACCATCCCTTCAAGCCCAAAGGACTTATGACGTTTTTTTTTTGTTTATCAACGCTATTATGTTTGAAAAATACTCCATAAAAATTTACAATCAATTTTTCTATTTAAAAAAAATAAAGTTATAGAGTTATAAGTTGAAAGATATGTAATTTTTTTGGGTGTTTTCTTGATTTTGAATTAAATAGTTATGGAAAATTACAATAAAAACACTGATGTAAAAACAACACCTTCTTAACTCCGCATCGAAGCTAATAAAATGTGTAAGTTTTTAGCTGCATTATATTATAATTCAGCAAAATTTTATCCGATAAAACATAGCAACCACATATAGACGATATATACAATTTTTATTCTGCACATTGCTACCAAAAATGACAATAATAATATAATAATTTCAATATCCGATAGCGCTTATTGACTTAATATATACATTTTTCAATAAATATTTCAAGTATTGGTGATGGGTTTTAGCTATAATCAGACCAGCGCTGAAAAATTGATTTCAAAGAAGTCTGAAACTTTTGGTCGCCATCTTTCAATTGGCTATTGTCGCGATTTTCAATAGATAATTATTCAAAAATATGCTGATCTCGTTTTCGTAGTAAAATTAAGTCCGTCTGTAGTATTATGCTGCCAGATAATATTATGGTTAACAACAATGAGAAGTAGTTGAGGTAGTTCCAGTCCAAATTCGTTTAGGGTATTAACAAAATAATTGAACTTCTATTCAAATCATAATTTCAATAGCGCAAACTTTCCGAAAGTCTGGTTGTCCTGCTCTCAAGTTCATAAGAACTTGTATATATATATATATATATATTTAAATATGAATTGCATGGAGAGTTGAGAAATCGCCGAGACCGACCTAATACAATTGTATAGAAATCGTTCATTGCTGTCTTATAAATAAAGGGACAAGGCAGGCGGAGTGAACGGAAGGCCTCTTAGCTTTCCTTGTAAAGTATATAAAAAAATCGTCACTGGATTCTTTACTTTCAGTTGAAATTCAACGGTATTGCTGCGAGTCTTTGTCAAATGTACTTCATGTAACGCGCATGCAAATACAGTTTTATTTCTACAGCACTCGAAATAATCAAAATACAATTTTATTTGCCCACGGCGATCGAATTGTAAATAAAATTGAAAAACGCATATTGCTACATATGCGTCGAGGGCGTTATTGCGAATTCTTTTCCAACTATACACAGTACTGACACCGTCGCATGCCTTTTTCAATGCGCACACGGTTGATTTATTTTTATTGTCTGTTACTATATTATGTTGTACATTTTTACCTACCTATTCGCGTACATTAATTGTTTACGCTTCACAGCGAACCGTTTGCCCTAATATCGAGTAAAAAATAAAAAAACAAGTAGTATAAAAAATAATAATGGCTTCTACAGCAAATTGTTACCAAGCCCCGTTACTGAGTCAACACTACATATATTATATAGAATGACCGATATCACTCAATATAATAATACAATATATTTAGTATTTACAGATGGATGATGTTTTCCATTCGATTTTCTCTACTAATCAAATCATAACATCAGTAGGGTCATTTGAGTTTTGAAAGGGGAGGGCGGGCGAACGTAAACCCTTCCCCAAAAAAAAATAAATGACGCCACTGAATCATAATATTAAATAATTACTGATCTCTATTGACAAACCGGATGCAACTAAATTCTAAAAGCATAGTCTAAATAAGTGCAATGAGCTTGTAAAAAGTAAATTAAACAAAACGCTATGTACAAATTGTTTGTTTGAGCTGAATTTTTCATGTTATCTCCTAATACAATGATTGTTTAATATTATTTCAATATCGAGTACTTTTGTAATTTATCATACATTTGCTCAGTTTCGGTTAACTTACTTACAAGTTCAAACGACAACAAACACTATAGTGTATGTGATTTCTACACTAATCCACCGATAAGGCATACTAAACATACTCATATACGAGTCATTTCACCGAAAGTGGTCATTTGTGTTGCCCATTTCCACAAGGAAACCCCTGAAATAGTGACAGGTCACTTGAAGTAGTACAATATTGAACAAGTATAGCAGCATTGTCTTTTAATTAATGATTTTTGGAGAAATACCATTCAATCAACTGTAAACTGTGAGGATCGCACTTTAGACATATCCCAACATTGTTACCTCAGTGGCCTGTACAATTTTGAATTTGTCGACAGAAGACACATCAGGTAAGTAATTTTATCTCAAATATAAGTTATATTAAGTCGTTATTTGGCCCCTTTTATCCGTATTATTTAAATTCAAAACAATCAAGTCTATTATTCCACGGAAATTCTGCAATTGAGCTTTCTACGATGACCTTTTTGAGGTTTGATGTGACCTTTGAAGTGACAAAGAATGGAGGAATAGATGAGAACAAAATATAAATTTTGAAAGTAACCACATTTGGCGAAATGACTCATCTACTGTACGGGGACTATTGAGCTAAACTGTCGACAGCATCCATCACTTACCCAAGTATCTCTTTTGCATGTTTTGATCTTGCGACAACAACTCGTCAATGAGGGTCTGCAACGTTTTGCTACCTTGCATGACCGGCACAAACTCCTCCGTGCTCTGGTACGAGTCACCACCGGATCTCTTGGGTTTCTGCTGTCTGTTGCGACTCCACTGGTCGGACTTGGGCGAAGCCGTGGTCGGCTGGAATCCGAACGGCAACCGGCCTTGCCGAAGCAATGATGAAATGTACCGCTTGCTCACTCTTGTCCACGGGTCATCGTCGGCCCAGTACGGCATGTTGTTGGAACGGGCCAGCGAGCCCAGAAAACGTTTACCGATGTAGTCGGCCGAAGCGGCTTCCACCGGTTTGATGATGTCCTCCTCGCGCATTTCCGGCTGGAAGTAGCCCGTTTCGATCAGGTACCGGATGTGATCCAGTGACACCACGCCTTGGTTGTCGAACACCTCGTCCGCCATGTTGGTCAGGAACAACTCCACTTTTTCCGGGTCGTAAGTGCTGCCGAACTTGTCCAGGTACTCGTCCAGGATGGTGCGCAGATCCGACTTGAACTCGTCCCGTATGTCCGGTTCGTCCAGCGACTGCCTCTTTTGCATGTTCCTCGATTGACCGTTCAGCTCCTTTGCAAAATCAAATAAATGTTTCGTTAAATACGATTTGTTTGTCAACTCATAACTTGTTACCAGTTCATTGCCATTATTTGGTATGAATATGTCTTATGTCTATCGAAAATTTGCATGACGCTTTTGTGACACAAAGAGGAGAGGGATAGGATGTGGTGGGGATTAGGTGGACATGGGATAGTTGTCGGAAAACTAAAAAGAGAATCAGCTGGTCATGAGACATGTTTAAAGCCAAAAGACATAATCGTTAACCAGGTAAAGGACGGAATACAAGAGGTGGGTAGTTTTAAAAAATACATTGTATTTTTAGGAGCTGATAGCACCTGAGTGTAGTTGGATAATAGAAGATGACTGATGGGTGGAATATAAGGAATTGAGCGTTAAGTAGTGAGCAAGGGAGACGAAAGGGTGAAGTAGCTTAAACGAAAATATTGAACTATATACGTGTGAGTTGATTAGGTCAGACAGTATAAGGAACGAGTAAATAAGAAGAAGTTTGGGAGTTGTGCCTATAGCAGAAAAGCTTAGAACACTTCGAGACGGATTAGACTTGAAGTGGTCAAATAAAACAAGCGAGCTCGAGTGTTTGACGTGTTCGCCTATGATTGGACTAAGAAGTGGATACTTATAAATAAATGCGTTTATCTGATTTAAAGATAATAAACATGTAATGAGGTCAAAATAAAAATACTATAGTAAACTCCTTGATCTGTATTATAATGTGTTTCTATGAAAGGACATAATATAACGAAAGCAGAACACTGCCGCTTCGTAATGTTTTTCCAGAACTTAACTATCGTCAAAACGAAAAAATGATCAAATTCGACCGACCGTAAGTGGCGGTTGGCGAAAACACACACAACATTATATTCCTGACAGACTAGCTACACCGCCTTGGAAGATTAATCTGGCCCACGCACGTCAACGTACCGTTTGGTCACGTCGACCGAGCAATGCATCTGTCCTGGTGTCTCTGCTATTTTCCTGTATCCGTTTTGATTCTTTGTAATTGTCAGGTAGCTGCCCGTTTTTGGCGAGAGCCGCCAGATTTCTCTTGTTGAACTCGAACGGATATTCGTGCGAAATCTGTAACAATATCATAATCATTGTCAACGTTGTGCAATATATATATATATATAATATCGTAGCGAGTGCAAGTAGGAAAAAAAAAATGTAAAGAAGAAATTTCCACCATTTATCACTGACGCATCCCTGACCGCGTCAAGTCGGAAAGCTAATAACGTTTTGGGATAGGAGAGGTGGGAGGGGTCGATGAAAAAGTCTTCTTAGAATGTTATTTCGCACAAATAAGACATGTTTACGTGGGTCGTACCTCGCATACCTCGTCCGTGTGGAATTCCACAGTGTGTCATTATTTAGCTGACTAAAGGGTCGGTTTTCCGGTAGCCGAAGCTAAGAGTTATGTATCATGGTAATATTATGACGTATAAGGCGTTTGGATTTTGTCAAGAAAAAAATATATATATATTAATATTATAATAATATTAATCGATAGTATCAATGCGTGTAGTCGGCAAGCTCGTTTTCCATTAGCAATGAATTTTGTTTTTTAAGAAGACTGTCATCTGTAATCTGTCCCTGAACAATATAATTTATCAACGACCGGGGGCCGTCACGTTGAATTACATTCCGGTTTTGAGCAGTCAGTTTGTTATGCTTTAAAGAAGAGACGATTCAACAGAATAATATAATAACGATAAATAATAACAGCAGCTCGTTAAGGTATTCCGTCAATGTTGTTTGATGAAGGGTTTAAGTGGAATCCGCGGCGAAGGGCGGTTCAGAGAATAAGGAAAAGCTTAGTTGAGGATTATTCAGATACAAAAATTTACTGCTACGGCAATAGTATTAAGGGATATTTATATTATATTAATATTAGTATTAATAAAATGTTTATCTTTATTCCTTTTACATAAAACAATTAGCATGCATCTTAACTTAGAAGATATTAGACTTTTTTTATATATATTTTTTTATAATTCTGTTGTTATTAGTTGGGACAAATTTAGTATATTTTTACAAAAACTATTCCAACAGACTACTGTAGAATGTATTTATATTTTGTTGGTCGGTCAACAATTGTGGGGTAGGTATTTATAAAACCGCTCATTTCTGTTTTGCACTTGTGATTGAGTGGAACAAGCTCTTTTGTAGTAGCCGGTTGATTGAATTTAAGATGGTCGAGTTATCCTCAATTAAATGGCCGAAAGCAAATAGATTACTAACCGCAATAATTGTAGTTTAAATCACAGACCGGACGGTTTCCTCAAAGTAACGTTTGTCCGTTAAGTCAAAATTAATTAGGTTCTATATTATTACTACTTACTACTAGGTACTATTATAATGGTATACTATGATATATTGTTTTAAATATTATTATGCGTATCGATCACCGTGCAAATTCATAGTGACATCTGTGATTATTTTTCGACAACGTCAAGTCGGATAAATTTGTTGTTTTTATTTTCGTTGATGGATTGTTATCTTTATTAGTCGGCTCATCCCATTAAGTACTCACACGGACCGACCGCAGCTGTTGTTCGACAACAGGATAGGCAGAACTACAATTTTAATCATATTTATGTGTTTAGAATTATTGTTGTTTTATCTATATTAAATATATTAATCATGCTATCTAGACATTTGCATCGAAGCGTTTATTTGAAAGCTATTTAATCACTTTAAGTTTTTTTTTTTAATTCCTCAAGACCTGTTACTTTACCCACTACGCCCCTACCCCACGGTTTTTTTTAATGGAGATAAAACGCTTTAACGATGGTTAAAATTGTTTCGACTAAAATAAAATAATTTTTTTATTCGGTTGAAAATTTCACCGGTTGCACATGCCCACCGTTAAGCTTCACATAGCCAACAAAATTCTGCCGTATATTTTGTTACCTTAATCCGTACCTACTATATATACTTGATAGCAGCCAGGCACCTGTTAGAGCATTATTATTTATCACCGCGGTTTGGCTAATAACATTTCTAGTCCGACCGCTTCCCCTGAAACGGTTTATTTTTTTATAAACCGTCGTTAATCAATCCAGGTCTGACTTAACGACCCTTCTGGATAATAGCGTGGTAATGTTTTTTTTTATAACCATAATAAATTTACTAGGATTTTTTTTTATTTCGGAGCCAAGTTTCTAATCATATAGTTAAGTGTAAACACAGTATATAGAGGTGTAATATCATATAATAACGCCGTGCACTCAGCAACGAAGTAATCAAGTAGGCAGCGACAATGTGACCACTTTAAATAAAAATAAACACTTTTTTCTAGGTTTTTAAACACTACACAGTGTAATCCTTGCTTCATATTATTATGACTTACTTGGGATAGATTCCAATTTAGACACCCACTAAATCACGAATTGAGGAAATCTCATTAATTATTTGATCTGATATTTTATGACTGAAATTTATTTTACTTTTGAGACTTACAAAAAGATATTTTTTGTTATTTATGTGAAGGATTGAAACCGTTTAATTTACACCGCAATTATCAAGTCTATTGATGTTACACTAAATTAAATTAGAATCATCAACCGAAGATATGATGATAATATGTTAAGATACCAAAGTTTCACATGAGCCACAATTAAAAATATTTAATATTGAATAAGAATACATTTCTGTTTTATTACAGTGTTTTCTCTAGGCCGGTAAAAAAGTTTGGAAATCATAAACTACACAATAACAAATATAACCATAATAACAGTGCATACAAATTGCATATTGATGTTTTGCATTTTTCATTAGCAAATAATTCTAATTATGAACTTTTTTTTTTTTCAAAACGACGGTTTTTTAGAATTTCTTTTTTGGTTAATGTAATTTAATAATTTTATGCGTTTTTTCGTTCATTCGTGTTGCACAACGATAACGCCTTGTAATGGCGGCGAATAATGCTGATTTTCTATTAAAACGTCAATCTCGCCAATAATATCATGTCAGTTGCAGACGCTTTTTGAGTTTTTTTTTTTTTTGGACGGGTGAAACTTTTAATGAAACTTTCGTTGAAATTACAACGAATTCAATAGATTAATAACGGTCGTATGAACATTTTGTAAAAAAATTTAGTTTTAGTCGGATAAATATCTAATTAAATTTTAAAAATTTTTTTTATATAGTTTGAAAATACATTTTAAACGATTTCTACCTTTAAACTTAACGGTTAACGTATTATGGTATTGTTATTTGGCCGGCTGCAATAATAGAGGTTACTTATCAAAGAAATATCACAAACCCTTTCCCCTAGATGAGATGGAAACCGTCGCGGTTACATCTTTAAGTAGATTATTCTGTTTTTAATATAGAGGCAAGCATTAAAATTGAAACAACTTGGTTTTATAACCGAGAATGTATAGTATTGTAAACATAAAACTGTTACTGTTTTTACTGTACTTTTCCGTATTGCTGAACGAGTAGGTACTAAACTCTTTACCGGTGTGTTTTGATCGGATTAATATCGAATCATCGATTACACAATATTATGTTGTTTCTAGATTGTCTGAGAATGACATTTTTCCATTATATATATTAATATAAGTCGAATGATGTTTTATGTCCAATACACCAAGCCCGGAATGTTTTATCGGTGAAAAATCACATCAAAGCCTTCGTATCAAACGCAGGCAACTGGAATGCTCTGTATTTTTCATGTTATATAACTCAATAGTATTATTATGTTTTTTATTACAACGTCCAATTACTGTAAATAATATACTTTCAACAGAGCTACCCATAAACCGATAAACTGAAACATAAGTGCTTCCTATTAACTATTAGTGATAAAAAGAAAAAAAAATAGAAAAAGCTTACCAGACAAAAAGGTATTAAACACATAAATCGTTCAATTAAAAATTACCTCAATTTGAAAATAAAGTAAAGTTGGTCTTTTGACCAAACAATAAAAAGTGTTATTTTGGCATTATACTATATTATCTTATTTTCCGTCATTTAATAATGATAATAATATTATTATTGCAATAAGCTGTTTTCGTCTCACTCGAAGATTTCTAAACAAAAACACACTGGTCGTTGAAACTTATGTTCAAAGTTACTCACTTGAGTTTATGAAAGTTAATTAAACGAAGAACGCCGTTAATAATAATTATTTTCTGTTAAATTTAACCGTTCGCAAAATACAGTCTCGTTTCATTATATTATACACTTTATTAGTCTTTGTGTAGTGTTTGTATGCACTTAACTTGACAATCAAAAACACTAACGAACCCATTTAAATTGTAATTTTATTTAACAAACTTTAGCGGAACACTTAAAAATACTACTGTCGAGCAGCAGTAGAAGAGACCGTGAAAAGTGGAACGGTTTTAATCTGAATAATACAATTAAAAAACCCGTTTTCAGTTTTGATATTTATAATTTAGTTACACATGCAATTATAAAACATTTCAAACGAAATTATTAAATAGTCAAATTATTAAAATTAGAAATAAAATGTCGAGTGTTAACAAGGCTGAGTGAGTATTGAAGATTTATTTATTGACTTTGTGTAAAGTTTATGTAAAATGTTATCAACTGTGTTCAAATAATTAAAGAGTTAAATACATTTCTAGATGATATGTTTGACTGAAAAACTGTTGTTTATTTATTACTAATACATTTTGAAAACTTTAGCAAGTTAAACTTCGTTATGAAATACGCAGAAAAATTATGAATTAATTAAAACGTATAAAATACACCAAACGCTAATTTAATTATGTTGTTACTTCTAAACTACTTGTGATTACCACATCTGCACATTTGTTCATATTGAATAATAAATAAGCGTTGGTGTGAAAAACAAATTGCTAAATACTTTTGATACTTTAGTCCTGTTTCGGAATTGGACAAAATGTGATATTATAAAACGATTAACAACTAAAACAAAATATAGAACAACGTGTCAAGTTAATAAATAAAAATACAATATTTTATTAGAATAATTTAAAAATAACGATGACACAACCTGAGTGTAAACTATATTAAAAAATTGGCCTTAACTATTTTATTTTTTTAAGGGTATTAAGAAAGGTCAGTTTTTTGGATGTTTTAGACGAAAAATCCCCTACAAAATGTTGACCCTACTTGGATGGTCTGATTTCGATTCTGGAAAGGTATTGGGAGTTCTTTTGCTACTTTATTAAGTTATTTTGGAAATGGATATTATGTTTTTTTGTAAAAAAAACTGAAATTTTTTCAATGAAAATTGGTTTCTAACATAACCCAGCAAAGAGGACAACGACTTGTGGTTATTTTAATGAATTACAGTTGGGCTAGCTAAAGTATCACATATGCAGCGAATACATTTTTTACCACCAAAATGGCTTTTACTCATAGAAAAAAATGTATTTATATATGTCAAAGGCCTATACAAATTATTCTAAAAATAAATGGAGATGGTCGAAATTTATTAAAAAAAACTTTTTTCTTAAATGTTTTCCATATAAAATTCCGTTCAATCTTTCTCTATATTTGTTTAATGCAAATTAACCCAAAAAGTACCACTTTAGGGAAAGAAAAAAAATAACTGTTTTTCACACACAATTTTACGGGAAAAAAATTAATTTTTTTTAAAACCATCATCACTTTACTTAGATATGCTATTCATCAAATTAATTTTTTAAGAGTTTTTATTAAAATCTTAAAAAAAAAAATTTTCTGAAATTATGAAATTAAAAATAAATGTTTTTCACGTACAATTTTACTTGTGAAAAATTCTGGAAAATATTTTTAATTTTCACGCACTATACTTATTTAAATTTGTGCGTAGCAATTTTTCAAGTTTATTTGTTAGCTGTAAGAGTTACAATTGAACACATTTTTCCTTTTCTTATAAAAAAAATAAACGAGTTACTTGACTTCTTTCATAAACGGTATTGTGTGTGCAAACCAAATCTACTTTGCCAATATATTATTTTACTACGACTATTAAAATACACAAATCATTAATGGGAACTTTTGTGTTGAAAGTAAATTAAGTTGATACATGTCGATGGTACTCACGTTTATCATGCAAGCCAGGCCGGCCAGTAACGCGATGGCCCTCATCGTTGCCGCTGGTGGTGCTGATGCGCTGTCCGTGTGCCCCAGGCGATTTACCGCGAACACTTTGAGGCGTTCCTACCGGATTCCGGCTCATTTATCTGTTGCGGGCCTCGTGCGGAGACACAAGCGCCCCCCATGGACGGCCACAATAGGGGTGAGAAAAACTACCCACGCACACCCCCGAATGCACTTCAACAAGTACACGCTTGGTGGATGTACATGACATCATATTATATTGCAGTGCATCACTCGTGCAGAGTGATGAGTTTGCCTATCAAATATTAATAATAATATATATATATAAATTAAGTGGCCTAAACGTTTTAAAGAGTAAAATGTATCTATATTAACGGCAATTTCCTTTGTGACGCAATAGTAGTCCAGCAACGAAACAAGTCTGTACTCGAACCTACAAGAATACAAGTATATGAAAATTAAGAGGAAGACAGAAACAAAAAAAAATGAAAAAAATGTTATTAGTTGCAATAATTACGATAATTTTGTATTTTTATTTTGGTTTAAATAAATTAAAATAGTTTAACGCAATAGCCTTTGTCTACATTGTACTTTGTACAATAGTATATAATGAGAAATTCTAATTTTTATGCTCGTCCATTTTAAAACATTTAATTTCCCTGCAAAAAATATAATAATAATTACAACAAAATATAAAAACTTGACATTGAAATTAATTTTTCAAGGCCGACGAGGTCTCCAGAATTTTTTTTAACATTTTTCTCACATTCAGCACACAAATAAACATAGAAAACCACTTTCAAATTGTGTTTTTCTGAAAATGACATTAAAGCTCTTTTGCCACTCACGTTAGGTTAGGTACCACCTAGAATCTCAGTCAGGGCATGCTATTGTTTTATAAGAGTATTATTGGGTTTATCGATAATCGGTTTTGGATAACTATTTTTGAAGTTATTGCCATTTCAAATATAGAACAGGAGGAAAACCGGAGTGTAGTAGTATTTGAGAGAGATCATACTGTATAAAAACACTGTGAAAAAAATGTACTTTCCTATTAAACCCTATGAAATATTGAGTGGTTCACGATAAAACGATCACCCTGTATGTGTTCTATATTAAATTTGTATTTAAACCCTACGGAGGAGCGTGGCCGCAACTATAGGGGGGCTTAGGGGTATTAGCACCCCCAATTAAAAAAAAAATAAGCACTCTCTAATATTTTTCGTGTTTATGTATTAATACCTCTGCTTATGAAAATAATTAATATAAAAAAAAAACCAAAAACTTTTTGCATAGTCGATCATATTATTTATAAATTCAGTATCATAATTATCAATTTCAAGTAGCTCTCACGTGTCCCATTAGTTCTGCACCTTGCGGACGTTTGTTTTTTGCTTTAAGAAAAAATAGAAACTTGGTTTAGGGTTTGGCAATGGGGCGGGACAGACTTACTGGTTTGTCAATATTATTATTATTAAAATAATATTATCTTTTTCACACTTGTGCAGAACTAAGATAGGCGTATAACTTTTGTTTAAAATACCTGTAATTTGTAATACTGCGTTAATTTGTATTATTTTTTGTTATAAAATTAAAATATTAATAAAAGGTGTATTAATAATAATAAATTAAAGTGCTAAATGTTGAATTGTTCTATAGAATTTTTGCTGGAAAAACCATTAGCCTCATTAATTATAATTAAAACAAAAATACCTGAAAAATGCATAAATGGGTCATTTCATGCCAAATCACCTGATGTGTGTGCGAGTGAATTTTCTAAATGATTGCGCATAAAAAACAAAACATTTTCCATCCCTTCCTTCCCAAGCTGGACAGACCATGGTTAATTATTGTTCTACCCAAATGTCGACATTAAAGGTTTCTTTTTAAAAATGATCGTTGTAACGAAAAAGATGACAATTACCTGTTGTTTTTCTCATAAACTTTAAGTTTTAACATTATCAGAAAAGTCTTGATATAAAAATAATTAGTTTTGGTGGAGGGTAAAAACTTGATTTCACATTGTATAAAAACACTATCAAAAAAAAAAAGTTACAGTCTACTTTAAACCTATCGGCTAGAAATTATAAAATATGGAACATGCTTTGGCCTGCTGGCTCCTGAATAGTGATTATTTCTGATCTATTATCTCTTTGCGATTTATGATGTTAGTATTGTCTTAACTATATGTTCTGGCCAAACGGTTGCATGTTCGATGGCATCTTATATATGCTATTATACTTTAAAAGTAGGCGCGCTACTTAAGTATCGCAATTTAGTGTCGTTTTCGGACTGGGGCCAAATCTAAAGCATGTTCCATGCTAATATGTAATTTATTATTAAACCGTATGAGATATTAAATGGTTCACGATCATATGATCACCCTGTATAAGTAAAAATTCGATTTTAAAATTATTTACAAACAATTTTCTAAGCTTGGGTTGTATAATTATAAGTATGTAAACAGCAGTAAAATAATTTATAACTCCATAATATTAATGCTACTACAGCAGTGTTAGTAAATGTAAATTATTTTTTAAAAAATTAACAAACTTTTCAAAAGGAATAAGAAAATATTTCTACATGCGGGATATTGAGTCATCTAGAAATCAGATACTCTGCAAACCGTCGTTAGTTCGTTATTTAGTATGATATATCTGGAAACCATTGACGTGTTCTTTCAATAACAACAACAACAATATTATTGCAAAAAAATTTTTTTAGAAATTCCCAACTACTGTTTGCATTGGAAACGTTTTCGTCGGTTACATTCGCTGTTGTTTGATCAAGGAACGCCGACCTGGAAATTCAATTTCAAAAAGATTGGTCGTACATTGAAATATTTCGCGTTATGGCATTTAAACTCTAGTAAAGGTCAAGTAAAGTCGACACTTTCAAACTATAGAAAACCTATCAGTTTTTCAGGTACAACGCTAAAATGCACGCTAACGTTTATCGGTCAATATTGGTCGCACTTTGCGTTTGTTGGAAACTAACTGTCAACGGCAGTCCACCTGTTTCTAAACTCACGGCATCGCCATTTGCAGCGGGACCTTCTGGACGACAAGACGGAAACGATTTTTCCTCCACCCTGGGCAGCAGCATTCAACCTTTAGCGGCCAAATCAAACGTGCTGACCAGTGCGGGTCGAACGGGTTACGGTGGGATGGCGTTGAGCAACGGATTAGGAAAAAAAGTTCAAATAGTGACCAAACTCGACGCCCAGAAATCAAACGCGGAATTTGCTGAAGTAAACGAAAATATGACTTTTGTCATTGGCGGCGGTGCGAATCGCACGGACATGGTAAGGTTTTACGATGAATTGTACAGTACTCTAAAAGGGCATTTGTTCGACTGTTTACAAATGGACGCTACCGATACGGCTCACGCGCTATCGCAATTCGTCGACTTCATATCGATTGAACAGAATTTACTAAACAATTCCATTGGTCTGTTGCTCCAAAGCGAACTGGACATCGCGCGGTTGATGAGGCTGTATTTATTTTTCTGCGGTCCGTTCCAATTACCGGACTGTTCGGAGAAGGGTGTAATGTACCGCGAGTACAGCAAACGAATACTTTACATACAAATGGACATGAAAGAAAAATTCAAAGATATCATAGGCAATGAAGTCCCTTTGAAAAAGTTGCACATTAATCACTTGCAAAAGTTTAAGGAAAACACGGAACGCCGGCTTTTGGTGTTGGCGACCAGCGCCATTGATAAAATAGAGCCGGACGGCCAATTGTTGCCAGGCACTCCACTACATTTTGTATGCATTGAATTGTTGAAATGGACGGCGTTGATGGAATCCGACAACGAAGACGCGGTGAAAATCCAACAAATGAAAATAACGGTTGACAAGACAGAAATTACAATGCTGCAGTACGCCGAGAGATATAGATACGAAATAGATATGGGCAATCTGGACCCGCTTAACTACCAGATGTTATTGCGTATTAACAATATATTATTGTGTTATTTGTACAAGCATTTTGCTTTATCGATGGCCTTAATCAATACGAATATATTAAAATTAAAGCGGAAAAACGCGTTTGCAATATCATTGGCGATAGTACAAATCGAAGGGCTTCGGGCGTTCTTGGAAATCTTCAAGCAATTTTTTGTCACTCGTTATTTGTACTACGTGAAACGACTGACAGCACAAACAAAGCTAACGGCCCTGATAAGTTATATGGATCGTTTCAGTGAAAACGTAGAGGATATAATACGAGATTTGGAACTAAGTCCTGAAAAAACGGTAAACGATATAAATGAGTTAATAACTGAATTTGCCATGGCCCTCTTGCTAGACCTTAAGGTGGACGATCCACAAGAATGGATTGACGGCGTCAAAAAAGAAGTAGGAAAATCAGTCAACATCAGTTTAGCCATGGAATTAAACAAAAACAAAGCAATGGCAATTATCGCGTTTTGTGTTAAACCCTTAAATCCGGATTGGCCAAATTTAAGGTATCGGGACCCAAATGAATTCTTAACGGCTACCAAACTTGCTCATCGTATAACTCATACTGAAGAATATGACAGTGAGGATGATAATATATACTTATAATAATTAAAAATTTATTTGTAGTAAATATAACACCAAAACTAACATGTAAATTTCTAAACTGTTATAATTTTAATGATGTAATAATTGTTATAATTATGTATCTAGCAATGGTTTTATAAGCCAATAATAAAGTTTTGAGATCCACTCTATTACTAAAAGCTGTTTTTTTTAATTTTCATCCCAAATTTATCTATACTGTAATGATGTTGTTTATTCAGTATTGCAGTTTGTGATGCCAAAAGTACGGTGTTGTTTATTATTTAAAAAAACAATTAAAGTTTAATTTAATTATTTCGGTATTTTTTATTGGTTTTATTATTATACCAATACAAAGTATTAAAAACAATGTTTTAATTATAAACAATTGAGTAACTCTCTAATGTAAGCTAAAACTTTGGTAACAGGTAACGACGGAACAAAATCATATACCTATTGTTCACTTTGTTTTGTAAATAATTTAAAGAATATAAATAATTTTTAAATACGAATAAAAACCTTATGCGCTT